ACCCTGACCCAAACTGAGTAGAAAATGGTGCAGCCACTGTGGGGCATCGTTTAGGGTTCCCACAAAAGGCTGACCACAGCGCTACTTTAGGACCCAGTAATCCCAATCCTAATCCAAGGTATTTATACATTGCACACGTATGCGCAGAGGAAGTGAAGAGAAGAACATACACAGAAACTTGTACCCCCAGTTCGCGGTAGCCCTTTTCACAATAGCCAGCAGATGGAAACACGGATACGTCCATTAACAAATGAATAAACCCAAAGTGGGATAGACATGCCATGGCATACTAAGCAGCCACAAAGAGAAATAAACTTCCTGAGGCATGCCAAAACATGAATGAACATGAAAACAGTATGCTGATCAAAAGTTTATGGCAAAAGGACAAATACTGTGCTGGAGTTCACTTATATGAAATAAGCAAATACATATAAAGCAAAGATTATTATTAATGGCGTCATGGGGAAGTTGTGGAACCAAATGATTGGATTAAACTCAGTATCTGCATAATTAAACTGCCTGGAACTCCAAGTTTGTTTGGTGGAATACAATAATCCACTCAGGCTTTTCACAGGTGCCTGTCATTTGGCTCTTTAATTGCTAGAGGCCTTGGGAACCAAGAGTGATTTCCTTTTGTGGTCAAGACAGGATGCGGAAGAAAAACATTGTAAGGAAAGGAACCTTGACACAGCTGTCTTTTTGTACAAAGTGAACCCAATCAACATCTCTTCATGACAAGAGTGTTACACAGAGAACTGTTGTGAAAGGGTCCCAGAGCCAGCTTCATCTACGCTTCCCAGACAAGCTGTTTGTGGGAAATCAGGTCCTGGTACCAAAGTTTATCTCAGAGTCGTAGGACATCTGAATTTCAAATCCATACACTGATTAAAGCTGTTTAAATGTCAACCAATGTTTTATGACCCACTTCCTGAAAGGATCTGTGCTATGATTTGAGCTCTTATTAGTCCCTGAAAACACTCACAATCAGCCCCTCAATTCAAGTATCCACCAGAGGCCCATTCCCTGCACCTAACCCTTCCTCACTGCAACCTCAACAAAGACTAAGGAAGCAAGCGACCATTATAATTACTCTGTTTCTTAGGCGCTACCTGTCTTTGTTAGGTGTTCTTTAGTTGAAGTCATCAGTACTCACATATGTGGGCTGGTGTCCCCCTGAATTCAAGTGCACCGTTTTTTTACCCCTTTCACTCTTCTGTCCCCCTCCCCCTGCCCTTTTCCTGAATAAATCTTAATCTCATTAGCAAGTGCTGGTGAAGATGTACTATAACTGAAGCTCTCATACATGGCTGGTGGGAAGACAAACGGTATGCTCATTTTAGAAAGTCTAAATTATTGAACACGTATTACTGAGCATGTATCTACCACATATAACCCAGCAGTTCTATTTGAGGTATTTATTTACCCAAGAGCACTGAAAGAATACGGCAATACAAAGACTTGTATACTAATGTTTGCAGAAGCTTTTCTTTTTCTTTAATTGCTCTAAATCTGAAATTGCCTAGATGCTCATCAACCAGTGATAATGGTACAATGACAGTGACTTTGCTTTCAGCTGCTAACAAAAGAACTGACAGTTCCAATCCACTCAATGGCTGATGGAAGAACAAACTGGCAACTGTTCCTACAGATTCTAGCCCGGAAAACTCTAAGGAGCAGTTCTCCTCTGCACATGGGCTCACTTAGTCACACTGACTCGGGGCACCTACTAACAATATAGTCACACAATGAAAAACTACCCAGCAACAAAAGAAATTAAACTATCAATATGAGCAATAACATAAGTGAATTCAAAATAATTAGGATGAGGGAAGGAACATAGATCTTCTTATCGCCCTTCACACAAAGAAAACATACTGTCTGAGGTCTGAGTTTGATTATAAAAAAATCCCAGAAATAAAAATTAATCTACACAACAGAAAGCAAATCAGTGGTTGCCACAAGTAAACCAGCGTGGTGCAGTGAATTTATTGACATGGTTATTCCAGCCACACTCTTTTTAACTTCCACCAAGTGACTGGATGGGACCATGCAAACAGGTGCATGGATCTCTGAAGTGGAGACTGGTCAATTTTGCTATCATGTTGGGTATAAAGTGAGTCATCTCAGAAACAGAAATGAGGATCTCACAAAAATCAAGAAAGATGAGCCAAGAGAAAAGCGTGTCCTTGGTACCCCAAGATCTATGCATGATGAGCCTCCACTATCCAGGAGATGGAGCTGTGATACTGGAGTGCACTGGCAATGCAGACAGCAGCACCAAGAGGCTCTGGAGGGGGAAAGTTGAATGCCTTCAATCACTTAACTGGGGGTGCTGGGCTTGCTGCAAGGAGAGTTGGTGGTGTAGGGGATTGGGGCATTGGGCTAGAATTGGGGCATGCATCAGAAATTCAAACCCATCGGATGTTCCATGGGACAAGGAGGAAGTTTTCTGCTCCCATAGATTTTCAGCGTTGGAAACCTAAAGGAGCAGTTCTACTTTGTCCTACAGGGTCCCTTTGAGTCAGACTGACTTGATGATAGTTGGGACACAAGTCTTGCCTTAAAAGTGCTCAACTGCAGCTCTGTGGATCAGCAAGCTTCACTCACTGTCAAACATAAAGAGCAAATGCTGTACAATTTAACTTATAAGCTCAAGAACAGGTGAATTTAACGGAAGGTTTTACTTTTACAATTTAAATCTGAATTACAGCTATTTATAGGGCAAGTGGTACTGATTAGGAGGGAGCACATGATGAGAGCCATCTGGGTACTAGAAATGTTCTACTTCTTAATCTGAGTGATGATCACATGGATGGGTGGATTATGAGTATATATGTGAGGGAGTTTCGAAAAGTTCATAAGAAAATGGAATGAAAAGATACTGGCATTTTTCCATAAATTTTTTGAAGCTCCCCTTCCACGCATGCTTGTGGACACACACACACACACACACACACACAGATGTGTGTGTATGTTGTTGGCTGATGTTGGGTTGGCTCTGACTTAGGAGACTTTAGGAAGAACAGATGAAATGTTGTCTGCTCCGGTGTCCTTTTCATGATGCTACACAACCCTGTAGATGTATGCACACATACAAACACTGCCACTTTAAAGTATGCTTTCTGTGTGTATGTTATACCTCAAGGAAGAAGGGATACAAAAGTAGAAAACCAAGTATTGAGAAATGTACCTACAAAATTTGGTAAGTTAAAATAAGAACTTTGCAGAACATGTTGTATGCGATGATCTTGTTTTGATAAAATAAACACATGCACTTTTCTGTCTGGATGCAAATGACAGAAATCTATCTCAAACTAGCTTAAGAAAATTTCATTTATTGCTGCCTACATTTTGAAAGCTCACTTAGCTAGGATCATGTACCCACAAATAATTTTTATTAAGAACTTCAGTGAACCTCTCTCAACTATTCGGACTAAAAATCATTAAGGCATCATTCCTAGGAGTCCATGAACATTTCAAGATCACTCTCAGAAGAGTGCTAGAACCGAGTACCCAGGTTTCACATGCAGTTCTACTATCTATGGAGAGGTACCACCTACGTTAGGTTATAGAAGAAAGCAAAAACAGGCTCTGGTTCTCAAGCATAAGCCCCCAGTTCTAAAGCCACAGAGGCAGATTCTCTGACGACTTTAATTCTCAACAGGTGCACAGGGTCTCAAAAGAGGACACCTCCACATTATGTCAAACTCAGTGACTTGTCAAAGTCACAGGTAATCCTTTATTTATAAAATTTGTAGGTTAAAAAGTTGAAAACAGCCATACAGTAGTATCAACTTTATAAGCTGGCAGGTGTTCCAAGTACTTAGAATGAAAGGAGGGAGTGTGTTTTGTATGATCACACACAAGTATTTCATTTCTTTAGTCCCTCAACAAACATCAGTACCTGAGAATGAGCCATAAGAAACTACTTATATTTGGCCACTTTTTAATTGCAAAGCATGGCAATTTCATATGGTTCAATCAAAAACCAGGTATTGCTCAGGTGCTACACAAAACAGAGTGTCAGGCTTCATGTAGCACTTATAGTCTCTATGTGTGGATGTGTAGTGGGGGTTGCAGATAACATATAAATGTGCAAACATAGGTTATCCCTGACTTTTCAAAGTTCATTTCACACTACTTTGCTTTTATGAAAAACCTATATCGGTGCAGGTTTGTGCTAATGGGGGTGGGGATGGGGGAACGTGTGAGGATTTTCAGTTTTATGGGAAAATGGTGAAGAGTGGAACTAGTACCTGGGTGTGTGTTGCAACAGGCCTCAAAGAGGCAATGCATGCCTGGAGCAGCAGCGGGTATCACCAAGCTCCTTTCCAGGGGGAACTGCACTTGGCATTAAGAGCCCACGGCTTTGATATCTATCTGTGAATCCTCTGCCAGTGCTATTTCAGATTTTATGTGGAATTTGGGGTGATGTAATAGGTTATTTTTTGGGACTAGGAACGCTCAAAAAACGTTCCATATAAATGAACGGTAATTATTTCTTTGCTTTATGTTTTTGCTTAAGCCAGGTTTCAGAGAAACACTCTACTTTCGCATAGTGGAAGATGTCTGTGCACGGAGCATCAGACAGTGTTGGATGCTTCAGAGAACACAAAGATGAAAGGGGAGGATTTGCTGAATGAATACTCTAGCCAGTCCAATGGGATAATTGCTGTTGTTTTATATAGGTAAGTCAGGGGTCTCACTGATAACATGATATTTGAGCAAAATTCTAGAGGAACTACAGGGAGCTAGTGTCTACAATGGAAAATGCTGGTCATCAATATGACCATTTTTGCTTAGAGTAGGCCCAAAAGCACAAGAATGATAGTATTAAAGCCACTGGAGTATCATAACAATTACAGTTCTAGTTAAACTTTCAATCAGTCAATCCATATTTCCCTATGTTTCACATTAGCACTGTAATTTTGGTGCACGTTTTCAACTCCATAAGTAGCCATGTATAAGAACATACATAAAGATAAACCATTCATCCTTACATCTTTTGAAGAACCTGGGCCATCACAACCCCACTCGTTAAATCTTCCACGGTCTGGCATGGTGCTTCTACATTAAATGTCTGGATCTGGAAAAGAACAAATTCTAGGGTTAACTACTTAAGAGATTTCTTAGACTGCTTTTTGTGATTATCTCCTGCAGATTGTTGTAATTTTCCTCTTCTGGTGAAACAGAAACTGTGATGAACATTACATGGCTCCCGTTTTATCCTCTTATAATCAACCAGCTAAGAAAAGCATAGTACTTTTATCCCCTCTACTAGTGGCAGCTTCAGGGCCTAAGACGATATGGACAGAAGCATGCTTGCTCAAGCATCCGGGAAGGAAAAATCAATCACTCTTGATGAGTATGCTGCCCCAATTGCCGACAGCAGTCATGTTACAGTGATGAAGGGACTCAGGATAAGGTCAATGCAGTAGATGGTAGAGAGGAGAAACAAAAAGAAAGCAGGCATTGCAAGTCAAAATTAAACCGCTGGATTAAAAGCCCTCCACTTATGTGACACCAATGTCTTTATTGTTTAAACCAATCAGATTAAGGCTTCTTTTATACTCAGAGCTAAATATGTTGACAAAGACACAGATGTCACACTTACCATTGTTAGATTAATAATCATTTCTATTTGATGTCATTCATTGTTTAATATGGACCTTCTGGCCATATTCCTTCCTTTTGTGAGTACTGTAAATCCTAGGTTCTACACCTGTGGTTATAATCCTATTTTGGAGGGAGTTATCCATTATTAAGATTGAGGTGGGCTATATTTTTGAGCTATATTCACACCTTACTCCCAGGTGAATCAGTTCACGACTCTTTGTTTTCTTGGGTACGCAGTCTGCAAAAGGCAAAAACCACACTTCCATCAAAGCCATCTTTGTGACTAGGCCCTCCTCACTCAACATGTGCAGGCTAGTACTGAGTCGCTGGTGATGAACACCAATCAGATGCCAGTGATCATCCAAAAAGACTACTGGCCCAGGACTTGGTAGCCATCTCAATGGGAGTCCCAGCTTTGGGGCCTGGTTAAACAAGCAAGACCTGCTTTCACCTGCAGACATTTTACTCTCTTGCCCTGGATCTGGCATCTGGTTTGCCTCTGCCTGACCTGTGGCTCTGGAGCTGAGTTGCAACTTATCACCTGACCCGATTTCACCAGCTTCCATAGCTGTGTGGATGAGGCGAATCCTCCAGAAAGACATCTAAACTTCAGGTTTGGGACTTAGCACACAGCCATGTGAAGCATTTCCTTTAACAGTTTATGAGTTCTTTTGAGATATTGCAGCAAATCCAGAACCCTGGGATGCAAAGGAATCTACTAAGGGAGAGGAATGGTGGTTGACAT